TACTGGCTTGAAATTCTTCCTGAAGATCTAAGTAGAAGATGCCAATGCAGGAGGGGAAGGCCAGAGTCAGAGCTAAGACAAGGATAGTAGCCACTAGGACCACCCATCCCCAGCCTCCATCTGGAGCATCATAGCCAACTGGATGAGCTTGATCAGAAGGGGGTCCTGTTCCTTGTTTTTCTCCCTCCTCAGATTCAGGCTCACATAGCTCCCCCGACTGCTCCTCCATGCTGGAAGGTTGCTGAGGTGCCATATTTTCCGATCTGATGGTAACCATGTCACTACCACCTGGGTTTTTCCACTTGATCCGGGGAGCTTTGGGCTCTCAGCGGCAGAAGAAGAGCAGGGCAACACATTCTTGCATATTCTATATCATCCAAATAAAGTGTGCTTGCTATACCCCTATACAAAAAAAAGGGATGAAAAGCTAATCTTATTGAACAATGAGCAATATAAAGCATTTTTCAGGAACACAAACAAACACTTAAAAAAATAAAGATATTTTAAATACAGAAAATTCATTGCAAAATATTGGGTGGAGCTACAAAAAGTTATTGTATGAACTTGTCAAACTATTTCTTTGTTTACCTTTCAAGTTCAGGTAGACCTGAGAGGTATTTGCTCACATCCATCTTAGAGATTTTTGACGGTTTATTTGGTCTTAGCTGTAATACTGAATACTAACCAAGTTCATATTTATCTAACCTGCTACAACACATTTCGATATGGAAACAGATGGTGGTTTTCATTCGTAATCAAATCTGTGTTTTTAAAAAGTGTCTAAGAATCTTTTAAGTGAATATCTCTGAAATATCTCGGTCTCTGAAATAATCTTACTTTGAAACAAGAAACTGAATGTAGCAGGCAAATGCAAAAATGTAATTGAATGGTTTAACCGAACGGCCACGCCCCTTCAAAGAACGAGTATGTAGAAGTTACTAAAAGCAAATTATACAAAAAAATAAAACCAATAACAGCAACTTATATTTTGTTGAAACTCTAAAACGAAACTGTTTATGATGTTTAAACACTCTTTAATATTATAAGGTTATAAGGACGATAAGACAGATAAGTTACAGTCGTGAAAGATTTCATGTTTTTAGAGAATCGTTTGAGTGAATGATTCAATGACTCACTCAACACAGAAAAAAAGACATTCGCCACCTACTGGCGTAAAGATGTAACCTACGAAGTAAATCTCCACTAGTATTTTTGTTCACATGCTTTTTTATCCTTTTGTATGGTATTTTATTTATTTTGCTTCTACAGCTGTTTCAGGGTGTTCTGAACATGTTTACATCACAAAGACATTTCTGCTTTTCAGGAAGAAGCGACTTTAAATGAACAACAAAGAATCTATAAGGAAAGCAGACGCGTTTGACTTTTTTTTCAGCAAGTGCTACGTAAACAACTACTTAAAACACTTGAGACATGTTTGTCTTTATTGAAGGTAGGCTACCTGAAACCAGCCACATCACCGGGGTCTCACAAGCCAATGTAAACAATTCACTCTGTTCTTAAAGCCGAACACGTATTGCCAGACTCAAACAGGAAAAAAAAGCTTGGGAAAAAACTAATGTAATAAACAACAAACGCACCTTTTCAGCGCATTTTCAGGTAACGTTATCCACGCCAGCACCGTCTGCCTGTGCTGCGGAGACTGTCAGATCAGCGGTAGGAGGAGACACTCCGGTTGTGAGCAGTTTCAGGATCCAGTCGATTAAGCAAACGCTAATGTAACAGCATGTTCTCTCACATATCGTACTATAACCATATAAACCAAATAGAGAGCTAGATGGAAGTAGTAGGCCTAACGGCTCCGTTAACAGCAGTCTACACGTAGAGAAATTTGAGCACCGGGGCGATGGCATGGCATTTCCTCTTGCCTTTCACCCAGAGCAGCTCAGTCGCATCCGACTAACGTTACGTTAGAGCCGCGCTGAAGGGCGGGTTTCTGAATGCTCATGCTGGCGTAGTTAAGCACGTATAACCCATAGCAAGAAATAGGTTTATTAAAACTAAACCTCCTCCCAACAATACTACAATAATAAAGTACATTCTACTGGTCACGTGACGCAGACTCCAAATCCTAACAAACATCTTATTCTTACCCCAAACACACTCCATTATATTTCCAATACTAACCATTTGTGAAAAACACACGGTGACTGTTTCCAGTGTCAATTTAGACCACTTTAATTTAAGAGTAGCTTTACAGTCGATATATAGATATTTCACCCCAAAAAATTAAGTCTGACCAAACCTGTGAAACTAAATTTCTTCAGTGGGATACCAAAGGAGAGGTTGAACAGTATGTCTCAGACAGTCACCATTCACTTACTGTATGAAGGGGAAAAAACATTGAATGAAAGAGAATGGTGACTGAGACTGCTTCTCCTTTTGTGTTCCATGGAAGAAAGTAAGTCATATTTGGTCGACTTTATATTTATGGGTGAAGTATGCTTTCAATTCAAATGGTATTATTTACAAGGTTCCCACGGTAATTAAATATCAGGGAACTGTAAAATTATCGTTTCCTGGCAAGGCAAATAACCAAACATTACAATAGTTAATAATTCAATTACATTTTTATAAGGCTCCAAAATATTTAGCAGTCTAGAAATTACTGTTGTGAGCGCAATCTCGTTTTTTTTTTTTATGTCAAAATGTTTTTAATGGTTTTACGTTTTTTAAACAGAATACATATAAACAAAGTTCTAATGTAAAACATTGTAAACAAAATAAGCACGCCACCAATCTGAAACACACATTTTATGATAAAAATCATACATTATCACTTTGCAATCTGTACATTGCAAGAAACTGCATCAGAAGACAAACTTTAAAAATGAAAAAAAAAAAATTTTTTTTTTGAAAAATACAGTCTGATCAAGACTATTCCTTTCCAGAACACTTAGTTCCACAACCTCCATAGCCTAGTGACATATTTGACACTTTACATCAATACTGTTGACAATGCAATACACCCAATACATCTTATGAAAGAGCAGGTTTTTAGCACATTAAAATGCGTGTGTACTGTATATTAAAGCATTCAGGTGTAGCAGGCTATTATGGCAAGAAAAAAAAAACTTATGTTAAACATGGACCTTGTTTTTAACTTTTATCTGAGGAAGTTATGACAGAGGTCTGCACTTTTGGCCAGTTCGAAAACATTGGTTGAAAGTAGGGCTGCACGATTAATCGCATGCGATATTTAACGCGCATCTTGTCAGAAAGCCGGTTCTGTAATCAGCGGTAAATCTCCATCACCTGCGTGCTTTCACATTGAGCAGCATTAACTACACAGAGCCGTTGTTCACTGATGAGCAGCGCAAAAAATCGCGCGAATATGAACGTGGGTTAGCGCAGCTCGTCAGTGAACAACGGCTCTGTGTAGTTAATGCTGCTCAATGTGAAAGCACGCAGGTGATGGAGATTTACCGCTGATTACAGAACCGGTTTTACTGATAAGATGCGCGTTAAATATCGCATGCGATTAATCGTGCAGCCCTAGTTGAAAGCTATATCTTTTATCAGATAAATGGGGTGTTGCATAAGCATATTTAGCCTCAGCAAGCAAGTTTTTCCAGTAGTACTGTGTTTGATTTGATCAATTTCTGTACAGAACAGTTAAAATAGGGCCATATATTTTTTTAATTTCCACTTCTCAAATATTATTAATACCATCTGTCATCTGTCCATGCACCAATTCACCTTCACAATAAGACAACATCCCAGCATTATATACTCAACACATTGCATGCTTCCAAGTTGGTATTCCAAAACACCAACCTCCTGTTTCTCAGAATAGCATATATTTTTTTTTCCCACAAAGAAAATAACTTTATTTATATATCTTTTTGTTTGATCTTAAACAACATGGGGTACAAAACCTAAAGAAGAATGGTAGATTTCTAAGGAAAAGGAGACACACAGAAGTCTCACAATCTCAAGTGCTTAAAGCATCAGCAGTCAATGTGACGTCCATATCAGTTTCCTGAACTGTTCCAAATAAATCTTGAGACTGCCCATGACATTTTCTTCTGCCTCACATGGGGTTTGACTCTAAAAATAGAACAAAATCTAAAAACAAAATCCACACAGTGAGAACATTATAATGCAGGTATAATAATGCATTATAATGAAAGTGCATAGGGGCAGGAGTGGAAAAGCTAAATACAGATGAACCACTGAAACAACAAGAACCATAAACTCAGGGGAAACGGGCACAGTCAGTATCTGAGTCAAGGAACAGAACTGATTTAGTCAAAACAAACATAAACACCATTTCCCAACTATCTGTATTTAAAGTAGAGTAATCTAGGAGTGAAGACATGAAGGGCATGACAGGTCAAAGGCACAACACTAGACAAACCATTGGGACGGAGAGAGACTTAAACAGCACCACCTAGTTTTGAATCCAGGATTTTTCTTTGAAATCAGACCTGAAACCTATTTGAACAATGGGAATGTACAATAGGATCCTGTGAGAGAGCCGAGGTCCCGTTACAGGAGCTTCAATGACTAATAATTGGGGCTGAACAAATAAACTCTCTCCAGGAGGGGGAAAACATTAACACAACAGAAGAAAGGGAAAGCCAACAACCACAAAGTATCTCACAAACTCAAGTACTTCGCCTTCTTGATATGATAAACCAAAGACATGAGTTTAGTGCGATAAAGAGGTAAAAATCCTTAAATGTATTTAGAGAAGAGACAACACTTTAAAACACTGCCGACCATAAAAACGTCACCTAAAGTCCACGCACATGATGCCATCTTACTGACCCCTAGATTCAACAATATTTCATCAATAGATATGAAGAACCGAATAACCAAAATACAGCCTGGATACCATTCAAATACTGACAATTTGTGATGTAGTCACAGCAGATTCCGAGAAACCACAATGTAATTATATAAAAAAAATACAGGAGATAAAACAGGAGATCAGGTTCATCTGCTGCTAGATTGGGTTAAACAATGAGGGCCACTGGTTTCAAAGACAAAGCTTCAATGTAAAAATGAAGCAAACATAAAATGTTTTGCCGGAAATTATATTAGATTTTGAAATGAAAAAAAAAAAAAGGCAAGAATGTTCCATAATAAATGGAGCCCTTTACATTCAAAAACATTCCACTGACGTGATCAAACTTTAAACAAAAAATAAGTTAAACTGTTAAATACCCAAAATGTTACGGTGGAGAGTTAGATCTGAATTGAAAATGTCCGAAAAGTGTCAAAATACATTCAAAAACATTCAACTGACGTGATCAGACTTTAAACAGAAATTGTTTAAACAGTTAAATAGCCAGAATGTTACGGGGAGAGTCAGTTCAGAATTTAAAATGTCAGAAAAGTGTCAACAAATGCAACAAAGAGCCACTAATGCAGTTTTGCACTGACTCAAAACTAGTGGGCACTTTGTCCAACAACAGTCTCCTGAACCACCTGGACTATGTACCTCTATACAAAAAGTCTCCGGCTTTTCTTTTTTTTTTTTCCAGTCATCGACAAAGTGTTTAAAGGAAAAACACAACAAACTATTTCACATCTCGGCGACCAGGCTTTTTAAAAAAAAATACATTAGGGGTCGATTCAGAACCTTCCCCAATCAGAGAGAGAAACTCATCTTGATTAACACAAAAAACGACCACTATGGTACAGATATCAACAATTACATGACTTGCATTCGGCCTCTTCGTAATACATATGGTTTGAATATACATAATCCTCACATGCCCTAAAACCGCATATTTCTTTGATTTTTTTTATTTCCTGTTTTGAAATATCCACAGCGACAAAGGCAAAAAAATAGAAAAAAATCCAGGATGACAGAAGTCAACCGGAGCGAATCGGAAATGTGAGACATCTTCACAGCGACGGACACGCGATTTGGAGCATCTGACCAGACAATTGGCAGTATGAGTTTTCCCTTCTCCTCTGGTCCTTTCCAGATGTGTAAATGGGTAGTTAACAAAAGAAACAAGCCGTTTTGAAGACAAAATACTGCATGTTCAAAAGCTGCGGTCTTCGTTTTTTCCGTTGTGCCATCTGCTGTGCTCTTGGTCTGACCAGGCAATGGGAAATTAATGCTGAAATGATAGACATTAGGCTGCTAATGATTTACAGTGTAAGTGAATGCGGGTGTTATGAGAAGCTGTATTGACGGTCAGAGAAATGAGGCTATCTTGCACACTATTTGGAAGTCCTGAGGAAATTATGGTCATGTGGACGCAGCCGAGCCAACAGGGGCAACTGAACCCCCTTAAAACATTTAAAGCCAGCAGCTGTAAAGATTATGATGATAATGACCGGGATACGAGGAAGATGATGATGAAGTCTGCATAAATAAGCATTAAGATGAATGATGAATCCTTCCCTGTAATCCTCTCTCTAAGCAGGTCTTGCATCAAATGTGATGGTCTGAGGTTTAACCTCGGACACATTTTTAATTAGTCGATTAGTGATGATAGTTAGTGGTGGTGCTGATCGGTTAATGCTGCAGCACTGAAGGGAGGAGGGGGACTGAAACCCCCACAGTGGAAAGGCACAAGGGAGGAGGGGAGGGTGGGCTGATGAACTTGGAGTCAGCTGTATGGTGGAGGAGGATCTGGAGAAAGGAGGTGAGGGATGGGAGATCTGTGTGGGCTCAGGCACCAGGTTCCTCACATCCTGGACCCCCTCTCCTGAAGGATCTGTGGAGGAAACGTAAAGATAATGATGAGCTCGACAATTTTTGGAAATATGTTCTCATCAGTCATTAATAACCTCTTTCATTTACTTTAATATATTTAATAAATATAATAATATAATTAATATATTTAATAAATAATAATATATGTAATATATAATTTTAATGTATTTTTTACTGCTACTATTACAAACTATAATTATTATTATTAGTATCATATGTTACCTTATTTAATGATTTAATGTAAACATTGTGTAATAAAATGTAATAATAATAATATATTATTTTAGTTTATATCATTTTTATAGTGTTATTATTATTACTATTCTATTTACTATTATTATTATTATTATTATTAGGGTTGCACAATTTGGGGGAAAACTTATAGAAAATTTCATTTAAAATGCTATTTTTTAAAAATCAGGCTGTGATTATATATTATTATTATTATTGTGTTGTACCTTAATCAGTTTAAACATTTCTTTGATATGTTTTTGTAACAAAATAATAATAATAATAAAATTAATGATAATAATAATAACAAAAATTATTGTTAAAGATTTGGGGTAAATCCAATCGCGATTTTTTTGATAACATTTTTAAAATGCTATTTAAATGTGATTAAAAAAACTTTTTTAGGTTTGCTGTGCTTGTTTGTAGGGCTGCACACTTTGGCCAAAATTTTGTGACTGTATATCAACATGGCTATAAAATAATGATAATTAGAATAATTAGTAGTAGTAAGTATTATATGTGACCCTGGACCACAAAACCAGTCTTAAGTCGCTGGGGTATATTTGTAGCAATAGCCAAAAATACACTGTCTGGGTAAAAATTATTGATTTTTCTTTTATGCCAAAAATCATTAGGATATTAAGTAAAGATCATGTTCCATGAAGATATTTAGTAAATTTCCTACTGTAAATATATCAAAACTTAATTTTTGATTAGTAATATGCATTGCTAAAAACTTAATTTGGACAACTTTAAAGGCGATTTTCTCAATATTTTGATTTTTTTGCACCCTCAGATTCCAGATATTCAAATAGTTGTATATCGGCCAGATATTGTCCTATCCTAACAAACCATACATCAATGGAAAGCTCATTTATTTATTGAAGTATAAATCTCAATTAAAAAAAATTTACCCTTATGGCTGGATTTGTGGTCCAGGGTCACATATTTTGTTTTCAAAGTTTTCAAAGAAATTATACTAAATAAGGTCATATGAAAAAGTGTTCATCTTACCTTAGCCTTCTCGGTGGGCTCGATAACAATTCCATTAGTGGAGTTGTTGAGCTCCCGGGAAACGACGCACAGGAATTCGGCCTGGTCCTCGTTGCCATAGTTATAGGAGGAGCCGATACTTATGAGCTTGAGATAGACAAGTTGAGTCAAGTTTGTACCATAGTAAACAGATAAGCAACAAAAGCACTGGCTTACGTAAGTCCCAAAGAAAGGTGCAGACATATTCGGTTTCTCAAAAACATCATGTGCAGCATCTACAGTCTGTACAATCTACATAGTTTAAAACAATGAGGAACATCCAGAGACCTTCTGTATGTCTGATTTGAAAGATGCTACAATACTCCAGACAAAGGATCTGCACCTATACTGGTCAAGAGCACCACATATGATGGGGACGTGAAGAGAAACAAAACCTACCTGTTCAAACTTCCATCCGTCTGACATGGTGGAAACCATCTGAGTGAGCTCCTCCTCTTGACATTGTAATACACGATACACATGCTTCACAGGGCCCTGTAAAAACAATAATATTCTGAATTAGGGGTTAAAACGGAATAATAAATCATTGTATGAAGTTGCACAGGTTTTGGAAACATCCTTTAATGGGATAGTTCGCCCCAAAAAAATGAATGACTTAATTTACTCGCCCTAATGTCCTTTCAAACTTGTATGACTTTATTTCTTTAGTGTAGCCAATATAGATATTGATGAGAATGTACTTTTTTTTTAATATAATGCAAGCATACACTTCTGGTGTATGAAAAAGAGCCGCGTGAACATTCTTCAAAACATCATTTGCACTCTACAGAAGAAATAAAGTCAAAGAGCTGTTTGCTCAGGTTTGAAAACAGGTTTGAAAGGACATGAGGGTGAGAAAATAACTGATTTTTTAACCCTTATTTGAAGTAAATTCTCAAATCATGTCTATAAGTCTGTGCTTGTCTACACTGAAGGTTGGGCAGCTGAAAAGAAGAAGGTTCACTGTTCCCAAATAGTTCTCGAATGAGGAACTCTCTGATTCGGATGAACTTTTAGACACAGACTGCTTGAAGGTAGACAATGAAATACTCCCTTTTGAGCAATCCCAGTACTTCTAGCAAATTAATTGCAGAGCTGTGCTCCAAAAAAACAAGTCCAAAAAGTATTCTGTTCCTCTGGCTGTTGTTTTCCCACATACCTGAGATGTTCTGTTTTCATTGTCTCGTATTCTCTCCTTCACCAGCCTCACAAGTGACAAAATGTTGTAAAACTCTGCTTCCTCTAGAACACCTGCAGTGGCCAGAGAATCAGTGAAAATCTATCATGTGGTTACTGCTTTATAATCAGAAATAAATATCTGGAAAATTATATAGTCTTAAAAGCATAGTTCACACCTAAATTAAAATTCTGTTATCATTTACTCACCCTCATGTTGTTCCAACCTGTATGGCTTTTTTTTCTGCTGCGATACACAAAAGAAGATATTTTGAAGAACTTTTCAACTGTCTTTGTCCATACAATAAAATCATTGGGGTCCAAAACAACATTGGATTCCACTGACATTCTCTGTATGGACAGAAAAACACTGACATTTTTCAAAGTATCTTATTTTGTGTATAACAGAACAAAGAAAAGTTTTGGAACATGAGGTGAGTAAAAGATGTCAGAACTATCCTTTTAAAACTACACCCATGCCAATAAAAGAGAATGATTAGAAATTATACACAACTATAAGACCAAACTGATAAAAAAAAAAACATTACGCAATAACTGCCATCGTCACAATTTGAAAAGAATAAAAAAAAAAAAGATTTTTTTATAGACTGTAAACCTTTCAATATCCCACCCGTCCTGCAGGAAATTATCTTACGCGAGTACACTGAGGTCCCTTTCCAGTTTCCACACACACACACACACACACAAAAATGATGTTTCTAAATGAAACTAGGCCATTACTGTTCCATTATGAAGTTTTTGAGGGCAGCATGCCCAGATCATCTCACCCTCCTCAGCGAGGTTCTTGTTGATGATCAACTTCCCATGCCTCAAGTAGTTCAAGATGGGTCCGAAATATGTGGGATCCCTGTCAATCAAATATGCTCCTGTCTCATCCTGTGAGAAAAGACAACCGACAGTGTGAACACTGCTTGTTGCAATTGCAATTCAGTTTTCAATTAACTTCACCATCACTGTTGTGGTCACTGCAGTTATATTGTTGAATCATTTGTGAAACCCCCTTGACAAACCACTGTTTCTATTAACGTCATGTTAACGTCACTCAAGCAGCAGGTAAAGTGGTGCCTGATTATCAAGTGCGTGAGAATTTCTAGAACCCAGTTTGTGAGTCCATTCATTCTCCAGAAGTACATACTGAATGGTTTTAGTAAATTAGTGCAGCAACAACAGGTTTTTTTTTTGCTCTGGTGATTTTTGAACTTCAAACTGCGGTTGCTATTTTTACATGAATTGACACTTTGGAAAGGAAATCCTCTGTAGAACTGTAAATAACACTTGTATACCCTGCTACAGTTTTTTAGTTGTCAACTGTGTTTTGGAACATGGAATCTAGTGTATATAGATCCAGTTGATGCAAGCTAATATACTATCTTGGAACAGTGACCAACTTATCAAAAGCGAAGGTGGCCAAGCAGGTTCCTGAACATGTCAATGGCTGGTCCAAACTGGTAGAAAAACAGCAACAAATCGGCTACCAGTTGGTCATCTAAAGCCGGTCAAGGTGGTTATTGGACTTAAAGGTAACTGGTTAACCAGATAATGACAAAATAGACCATCTAAAAACCAGCTACAGAAACCCTTCTATCTTGAAGGCACTCAAAAAAACAAACAAACAAAAAACTATGAAAATTCTGTTGTCATTGAATCATCCACTCTATGTCTTCTGTAAAACATAAAAGAAGATATTCTGAGAAATGTCTCAAGTGTTTTGTCCATACGATGGCAGGCAATGGCAACCAAAATTGTTTGGTTAACAAAACTCTTCAGAATATTTCCTTTTGTGTTCCACATAATAAAGAATTCCACACAGGTTTAGAAAGACTCCAGGGAGAGTAAATAATGAACAAAAAAATAATAATAATAATAATTGTTGCATAAACTATTCCTTTACACTGGATTTTATTTACTTTATACTGGATTAAACTGGACCTAATGGGTGCACTACAAATACATACAGACAATCCTTACACAGGTATGTCCACAATTTATCCATTTTAATGTTAATATTTTACACACATGAAAAATGACTGATTCATTTCAAGGAGTAAGACATGCTTTACTGGTGTAACCCGAGCCTTACCTTATCCGAATCCAGATCTGGATCTTCCTGACATAATCGATACAGAAACGATTTAGGATCCCTGCACAGGGTCTGTTTCGTTGTAACAAAATAGGTTCCCCCGACATTCAGCCGAACCCACCGAGAACCAGGCTTCTCTGTGGCTTCTGATGATGGGGAAGTGGGGTTGCTCTTCATAGGGAACCCAAACACTGCTCTGGAGCCGGAGACCCCTGGACTGGACAAGCCACTCCGAGACGGAATCAGCAGTGTAGGCGAGGGGAGTCTCACGTTCACTGAGCCTCTGATTTCACAATGCTCAGTCTGCTCGATGATGCCAGTCGAGCTGGGCTCAACGTGCAACTCTGCCATGTTTTCGCAGCACAAACAGTCAGTTCCGTTTCGATCAGACACTAAATGCCTTTATTTAGCGCTCCGCACGGCGCTGTTACGCTAAACGGGTCGCGTTTATACGCGCTGATAACGACGGCAAAAGCGTTGCAGTGTGTTAGTAACGCGCACGCGAGGCGACATAGCTTACAATTCCCAAAAAACGCTATGCTGATCCGTTTTGTTTATACAAACGACCCATGTAAGCTACAAATATTATCGGTGAGACTCAACACATCACTTCCTGGTCATGTAAATCCATATGTGACAAAATAAAAGTCTGGACAATAATATTTTTGGGATTTTTTTTTCAGGCATAATGTTGTGAAAAGTGTTACTATTGTTAAAAATGAAAACAGTTAAAATAATTGTCGGTAACTGAAATAAAGCTGAAGTAAAATATGAATATTAGATAAACAAAACCCCTAAACTTAAAAGTTACATAAAAATGAGAAATGTGTGACTAACTGAAATGAATAAGATTAAGTTAAATAAATAAAATTAATTAAAGCTATATAGAAGTATGAACAAAAGTACACAAAAAATGAAAACTGAAAATATAAAAATAAAAACTAAAACATTAAAAATATGAGTAAATACAATAATAGTGCATAAATAATACCAAAAAAAAACCCACTTTGGAATTCGTGGATGGATTAATTCAACAA